GTTGTGAGATTGTTAACCGTTGTCATAGGGCAACATTTGTAGTAACTGTTAAATGAGAAACTATTTTGTTCTGTAAGCCTTCATCTTAAGTGAGAAGAACAGCACAATTGGAAGAGCGTACTCAACGTCACTGGACTGTGCATGTAGAAATTTTTGAAATGGTGTATCTTTGGCTATGTGTATTTTCACCCAAAAAAAATGGTTGAGAAATTAGAGGGTTGACATGTCGTGGGGTTGTTAACCAATGTCATAAAACAATATGTGTCCTACTGTTTCATGAGAAACTTTGTTCTGTAAGCCTTCACCTGGAGTACAATTAAAAAAAAAAAAAAGAAAAAACCAGTTGCCGACGAGTCAACCCTAACTCACGGCAACACTAACCCCATGTGTGTCAAAGTAGAACTGTGCTCTCTAGGGTTTTCAGTGGCTGATTTTTCATAAATAGATTGCCAGGCCTTTCTTCCAAGGCCCCTCTGGGTAGACTCAAACCTCCAACCTTCAGTTAGGAACCGTGCACTTGACTGTTTGCACCACCCCAAAAAAGAAAAACTAAACCTGGTACTGTCACGTCACTTTTGACTCACGGTGACCCCATGTGTGACAGAGTAGAATTGCTCCATAGGGTTTTCTTGGCTGTAATCTTTATGGAAGCAGATAGCCAGACCTTTCTTCCATACACAAAAACCTCTTGTGCCACCCTACAAAACCAAACCCGTTGCTGTGGAGTCCATTCCGACTCATAGCGACCCACCCAGGAGGAGCTAAGTCCCAAGTCTGGTCAATCACAGGACTCAGAGCTCTGGGCAGAGATTAATTGGCTCAAGGGGGAAAGTCCCATGACCCAAGCCAGGCCATTCAGGGCCCTTCCCGGGGCAGGAGTGGAGGGGAACACCCGTCTTTGCTCTAGGATCCCAGAGCTGTGGCAGCTGTGGCAGCTGTGCACTGCCCTGGTGGACGAGGACAAGGCCTATGTACAGATTGCAGCAGGGACAAGAGGGAACAGAGACAGTGACCCTGTGACCCACCAGCACCCCACCCCTGGACCCACACCTCCCTTTGAAGCTTCAGCAGCTCTGTGTGGGATCCTACCGCTGGCCACATCGAGATTCCCAGCCAGGCCTTTCCTAAGCAAATAATCCAACCACGAGAGTCTCACTTCCTTGTTCCAGCTTTTGTTTTTCTTTGCTTATTTGAATGTTTTTACCATGTACGTGTTTTACTTTCATCATTTAAAAAAAAAAAAAATCACAAAGCTCTTTGTCTTTGAAAGCCAAATCCAAAGCCTGCTTCTAACTCCCCTGGCCACGCCTGGTTTAGTCTCTGATGGGACCAGAGTCTTCCTGCCCTCCTACGACTGGGCACCTCGGCACTGGCCTGGGAGACATGGGTCTCAGGGGCTGTAGTGGAAACCCATTTTCCTAGGACCCTGTGCCCTGGGGAGCCCGCCCCACCCCAGCCGAGACTGGCCGTGGACTTCGGCCCCACCTGCAGAGCACCTGCAGCCAGCTCTCGCATGTACTCTCTGGGATCTGACTCTGAGATTAGGATCTTTACTGCAAATCCACTGGTCCCCAGGAGGTTGGCATGGGCCGAGCAGCCAGCTGAGCGGGGCTGGAGCACAGCCTGACTCAGGCAGGCCGTGTGGCCTTGGGCAAGTCGCTCCCCCTCTCTGAGCCCCACTCCATCTTCTGTAAAGAGACGCTGGCAGTTAGCCTCGGGTTTCTCTTTGGGCTGGGGACAGCCTGGGTGCCAGGAAAGCAGAGCTGCACAGGCGGTCCTGTCCTGAGGAGCCACCGCCTGTCTGCAAGATCATTATCACCGCAGCGACATTTTTTGAGCCCTGGGTGATACAATCAGTTAATGCACTCTGCTACTAACTGAGAGGTTGGAGGTGCAAGTCTACCCACAAGCACCTTGGAAGAAAGACCTAGCAATCTGCTTCCAAAAAATCAGGCATTGAAAACCCTACGTATCACAGTTCTACTCTAACACACGTGGGGTCTCCAATAGTCACAGCCGACTCAATGGCAGCTGGAACTGGGCCAAGTACTTTCATATGACCTCATTAATTCATACAACTCCACAGGGAAGTACTATTATTACCAGCACTGAACTTGTCCACGCCTTGATCTCCTTATCTGTTTATGGACTCACCCAGGGGCACATAGCTGGGGATGACCTACGTGAGTGGGTGCTGGGGTCCTGGACAGGCAGATGGCTCCACAGCCGAGCTCTCCACCTGTGCAGTCTGCTCCACTGAGACAAGAGCCGGGCGGGCCAGAGCACGGAGGGAAACCCAGACAAGGGCCCTCACCCGACCCAGCCTGTGAGGGCAGCCAGGCCGGCTTCCTGCAGGAGGTGGATGTGAACCAAGCCCAGGAGGGCTGAGCGAGAGTGAGCCAGGCAGAGCAAGGAGGAAAGATGCCCAGGACGGAGGAGCTTCCGCAGATTCCTGGAAGTGAGAATGCAAAGTCCAGGCTCATTAGTTCAAAATGGGGTGTAGGGGGGAAATGGAGCGGCAGCGCTGGATGGAGACGGGGCAGGCGCAGCACTCCTGAAAGCCGGCCTCTGAGAACTTGCGCTGCCCCATCCCTGGCTCTGGACAAGACACTTCCCTCACTTCCCTGGCCTCTGAGTCATCCAATCCTTCCCAGCCACCCCCTCCAGGAAGTCTCCTGGATTGGCTCCAGGGCCCCCAGCTCCTCTCTGGAGAGAGTTCCTTCCCCACGTCCTGGACTGCCAGGTACCACACTGGACACCTTCCCACCCAAGATCTCATTTCATCCTTACACCCACTCTGCCAGCCAGGGATGACTGTCCATTTTGCAGATTGGGACAGTGAGGCTGCAGCCCAGAGTATCCAGACCCCTCAAGTATCTGGCTCTGGGGTAGACCCAGGCTGCTGCTCTGTAGATCACGAGCTCCTGAGGGCCAGGACTCCGGCTGCAGTACCTTCTCTCCCAGCCCTCTCCGCCTGCGGCCAGGGGCAACGAGCCTGTGAGGGGAAGCCCGCAGAGAGCCCGGGGCAGGGAAGGAAATGTGGGCAAGGCCGTGGAGGCCCTGCTCCAGCCTCAGCCCTTTCTTGGACCTGGCCTCCTCATGCGGTGAGAAGGGGGGACCACCCCCAGGAAGGTCACCGGTGTAGGGCTGGAATGCTACCACCCATGTAGAACATAAACAGTGCTGGGTTATGGCTCACCTCACAGGAGAAAACCAGAAAGGTCACAAACCTACTCAGGGATTTCCAGCCCCAGAACCCGGGCTCCATCGAGTTACAGCAACGCTGACCGTTAAACACATTTCCTGTTTGAAATGTTTAAATGCAATAGGGTATATATTCCATAATCTTGGGGTGGGGCAGGAAGACACCAAGTGAAAAACTATAAAGAAAAAGGTCAATCAATTCGACTATATTAACCAAAAAAAAAAAAAAAAGCCACTGTGATAACAAAAGAGAAATTATAAACGGGGGGAATATTTGCAACAGATACCACAGACCGATAAAGGGTTAAAAACCTCCTATACACAGGCTCCAAGGAATTAACAAGCAAACGATCTATGCAAAAGAAATAAACAAAAATGGCCAATTGAAGTATGAAACCCAACCATCAAATAAATGCAAATTAAACCCACAATGAAACAGTATTGTTTCGTCAATCTGACTGGCTAAGGTTAAAAGGTTTGCCAACACTGGGTGTTGGCAAGGGCATGGGGAAACCGGGAAAGTGTCCACAGGGAGCGTGTCCCACGATGCTGGGAGTAAGCGTGACGAAGCCTGTGTGGGGGCAACTTGGCAGCATCTCGAATAAACGCGGATCATCTAAATAAAAAGCGTGGGTCCTTTAACCCCATAAAGCCAGGTAAAGGCCTGTGCACGCTGAGCAGATTCTGAGAAACAACTCGCTTGTGGGTTAGACCGGCCGTTGGCAAGAATGAGGGTGAATCCGCAGAGTGGGTGCCCATGGAGGTAGAAAGGACCTCACAGGGACATTTAACGACACGGAAGGTGGACACCACGTATTGAGCTATAAGATACAAGACAGAATAGACTGAATTCTTTGGCACAATCTTTTTAAAGAATAATAATAAAAAGTGCCTCTACTGCCACCTTTGCTTCCTTCTGGGCGCTTACTGCGCCTGCAACTCCCCAACTCGGGGTGGACTTTGTGGCATCGCCGCCTGCCTGGCGCGGGGCCCAGGAGCTCCGCACACTGCAGGCGCCCAGGGGCTGCAGCTGAAGACCGGCGGCCGACCAGCTGCCCTCGTGGGCAGGATCCACGCGTCCAGCACATGGACCGCGTCCCCTGGAGCTCCCCCGAGCCTTCGCGTCTCCGCGCCCCGAGTTCGCTCCCGGGTCCCGGCCCCGGGAGTGGCTCTCGTCCCACTGCCGGATTGGAGCTGGTGACACGCGCACCCCACGCACCCCGGCTGCGTGGGTCCAGGCTCGGGGACGCGAGGCAAATGTCAGACCGGGGTGGTGCGTCATGGAGCACCTCGAGCGGGCGCGGCTCAGACCCTCTGGGCAGCGGGCGTGGGCGTGCCTGTCGGCACCTGGGCGGCCCGCGTTAGGGCTCGCCCCAACCCGGATCGCCCATGACGCCCGCACTCCATGCTCACCTAGCAGCGTGTCGCCCCGGTTCAGGCTCCCTACGACCCCGGTGGCTCCCGGCGCCCGCGCCCCACGCTCACCCAGCATCGGGCGGCCCCGGTTCGGGCTCGCCCCGACCCTGATGGCCCCGGGCGCCCGCACCCCACGCTCACCCAGCAGCGTGTCGCTCCGGTTCGGGCTCCCTACGACCCCGGTGGCTCCCGGCGCGCGCGCCCCACGCTCACCCAGCAGCGTGTCGCCCCGGTTCGGGCTCCCTACGACCCCGGTGGCCCCCGGCGCCCGCTCCCCACGCTCACCCAGCATCGGGCGGCCCCGGTTCGGGCTCGTCCCGACCCTGATGGCCCCCGGCGCCCGCTCCCCATGCTCACCCAGCATCTCCTTGCGCCGCTGCGTGTGCGGCTGGTCCGTGTAGACCCACTCGAAGTCGGTGCGTCCCGCGCAGTTGCCCATGGCTGGACCGGCGGCGCTGCAAGTCGTCTGCGCTCCACCTGCCGCGAGTCAAGTTCAAGGCGAGGGGGCGGGGCGGGGAGGGGCGGGGCCAGGTGCGCCCGGAGCGCGGAGCGGGCGGGGCTCCCGGCGGGCTGGGCCACCGGCTTGGGCGCCCCTAGGCTGAGCAGAAGCGGCCCCTCCGCAGCCTCTGGTGCCTCGGCCGGAAACGGGGTGAGCGTGCGCCAGGGGCTGCGGCGGCCGCGCGCGACCTGCCAGAGTCCGGGCCACCTTTGCGTCGGGCGCCGCTGCCGCCTGCAGGCCGCCTGGCTCCACTGAGCCCCCACGGCGGCCGAGCGCCAGTTCTCTCGGCGGCCCAGTCCCGCTCGCAGTCTGGCCTCGCGGACAGAGAAGCCAGCAGTAACTCCCACTTGGGAGAAAGGGGGTTAAATGGATGCGACAGTGGCGGTAAATAGAAGGTGCTCAGGAAGCGTTCGCTGCAGCAACTCTCCCTTCATCTGTCCCTTTCCCTCAGCCCACCCCTACACGCAGTGATGCGGAGGACAGGTAATGCGTCTGTGACAACCACGTTCGTGACTGAACGTAGGGGTGAGACAGACCCACCCCTGCCTGAAGGGAACTGGAGGGCTCGGTGGGGACACGGACACGAAAGTAGGCTTATGACTCAGGGTGATGTATGCCGTGACAGGGGTTGGCCCTAGAGCAGCCAGGGTCCAGGAGAGGGGACTTTTCTGTTGGTCCCTGAAGGATGAGTAGGAGTTCACCAGATGGGGAGAAGGGAGGGCGTTGATGGTAGAGGGAACAGCAGGTGCAAAGACTCAGAGGAGGCTGAAAGAAGCCAGACATTCTCTGAATGGGGAGTTGGAGTTTTGGGGAGTGAGGGAACAGGGCTCCCCATCTCCACCTTCTCAAGGATTCCTCTTGCCCTTCTCTCCCTCCTCCAGAGCTTTGGCGGGTACACCTGGTGTGCCTGAGGATGAGAGACCACCCTCTGCTCTGAACTGCCTGGGCAGCTGCTCAACATACCGTGAGGCAGGCACTGGGCTGGCAGCCCTGGGGAGCCTCCCTCAGCCCCCTGGAAGCCCGTGGCCCTGGGGTGTGGTACTTCTCTTGGCCCGCTCCCTCAACCGAGGGCCAAAGGCAGTCCTGGCATGAGCCTGGGAAGAGGGCCACTGTGAGTGGACATCCAGTAGGCAGCCACCGCCTGCCCCTGAGTTGATCATGAGGAAGTGGGTGGAAATAAAGGCTAGTTCCCCACCCAACAGGGAGACCTCAGAGCCCGGTGTGGGGCCACCACCCCACTCCTTGCAGCTCCCATTGGGGACCCCGGCCCAGCTTGCACCCGTCCAGAGACAGAGTGGCTTGCTCTCTTCCCAGCCAGAAGGGCCCTTTAGAGGTCATCCTGCCAGCCACCACTTGACAGATGGGGAAACCAAGTCCCAGAGATGAGGGGGGACTCACCTAAGGCACACGGCAGTGAACAGCGAAGCTGGGGAGGGACCCCAGCCCCTGACGTTTGACTCAAGAGCCCCCAACTCGGAGCATCTGCCCCCATGTTGAGCTTGGTGAGATCTGCCCTGATGAAACTCAAACCTGGATCCTAGCTGTGCCTCCTGGGACACCACCAAGCCTGCCAGCTCCCGCTGCCCCAGGACAGTGACCAGAACACGTCACTCAGACAATGCCAAGGACACAGCCTGGTCAGATGAAACTAGCTTGTGCCCTCCTTTTACAGACCAGGCAACTGAGACCAGCGAGGGGATGAGTCAAGGACACACTGGAGGGCACAGGGAATGGAACAAAGGTCCGAGATGCACGACTCCCAGTCCAGTGCTCCTGTCACGTAACCCCCAAGTCCCTGGGGTCTGCTTGGACAATAGAAAATAAACTCATGATGATGCACTTGTCTGAGCCCAAGCGATGGCCCTGTAACCCATTGCCGTCGAGTTGATCCTGACTCATAGCCACCCTACAGGACAGAGTAGAACTGCCCCATAGAGTTTCCAAGGCTGTAATCTTTAAGGACGCAGACTGCCACATCTTTCTCCTTTGGAGCAGCGGCTGGTGGGTTTGAACTGCCGACCTTTCGGTTAGCAGCTGAGTGCTTAATCACTGCACCATCAGGGCACCTTCATCCTGCCCCATGTCCTAGAAAAGGAAGAAAAAAATGTATTTGTTGGTAACGTGGTGTCCTGAATGGAATTCTGGGACAGAAAAAAACTTGGATAAAACTTAGATAAAAATTAAGGTTTTTAAGTGAATAATAATATATCAGTATTGGTTTATCCATTGTTACAAATATACCATACCACTGTAAGATGTTAATAAGGGAATCTGGGTGTGGGTGTAAGGGAACTCTGTGTACTATCTTTGCAGTATTGCTGTAAATCTGAAAGTGTTCTAAAAACGTTTCAAAAAGAAAATGAATTTTAAGTGTGTGCGTGCGTGCATGTGTGTGTATGCGTGTGTGTGTGCGTGCGTGTGTGTGTGGGGGGTTGTTGTTACGGCCCTAACAGCGCTGGAGAACAGGGACTCTCGTGGACTAGAAACAGAGCGACCCCGACATGGCCACTCTTGACTCCTCCGCATACTCCCACACAGTCTCCCCTCGCTGGGCAGCAGCTGAGGGGGGAGTGCTGACTCTCAGGAGGGGCCGTGATTGGGGTCCCTTGGGACAGAGTGCTTGGGTGTCTGCGGATGCCTGGGGGGAGCAGGGAGCACCCACACCCAGAAGTTTTAAGAGCAGAGGTTTGCTGCTCCAGCAGAAAGCCCTCTTCTGCCCAATGTTTGCAGAAAACAGGCCAGAATGCATTCCACACTGTCCCTCCCAGCCCTTCCCAAAATCAGTACAGTCAAGGTGTATGACCCAGAGGCAGCAAACATGGGAGGGAAGTCAACACCGTGCTAGAAGGGCAACCAACCCCAAACCAACACCTGGGAAAACAGAACTATTGAAGAAAGAAGAACTGGATTTAGGAATGAGAATAGTATCTCCCGAGACATACAGAAAGTTATTTCATCTATTAAAAAAAAAAAAAAGGAATGAACTAGAGGTGAACAATTAAAAATTGCTTATTAAAAGGAAAACCCTCTATTGAAACGAAGCATACCAAGGACACATGGAGGACATGTTCAGACTCCTAGCCTCCGTGTAATGAGATTTATAGAGAGAGAAAATACAGAAAATGGGAGTGACAACATTAATCCCTACCTGCCTTATTTTCTTCATAGAAGTCATCGCTCACTGAAATTATAATTTAATTATATGTAATCATAGTTATCGCTGTCTGAAATAAATTATTATAGCATGTATTTATTTGCTTGTTTATTGTCCGTTTCCTCCACTAGAACGCCTTGTTCTCTTGTGTTCACTCCTGGTATCCTCAACGCCTAGAACAGTTTCTGGCACAGGAGATGCCCTTAATAACTATTTTCTGAATGAAGGAATATGAATGAATCATGTTAAACAAGTAATAAATCAGCATTTCCCAAAACAGAAGCGAAATGGGTCATCAGACTTCAGGCTCAAGTGTGTCAACAAGATTAAAAGTTGGTTCAACCACTTTGGAAAAACTCTTCAGCAATATCTACTAAAGCTACACAAACCTACACCTTATGGTCCAGCAATTTGTGGGTATATATCCAAGAGAAATGAAAATATATAGCCACCAAAAGGCATATGCAAGAATATTCATAGCAGCTTTGTTTGTAAGAATCAAAAACCTAGAAACAATCGCAATGTCCAACAATTAGAGGATGGATACGCAGATTGTGGTACAGCCATACACTGGAATACAGTGCAGCAAAAAAAATAATGAATTACTGATACACACACCAATGTGGATCAGTCTTATAGATACAATGCTGTTTAAAATAAGAACACATCCTAGATGGTGCCCGGCTACCACCAATGACCACCCTGACAGGGAACTCAACAGAGAGTCCCTGATGGAGCGGCAGAAAAGTGGGGTAGAGAACTCAAATTCTAGTAAAAAGCCCAGACTTAATGGTTTGACTGAGACTGGAGGGACCCCAGAAGACATGGTCCCCAGACTCTCTGTTAGCCCAGAACTAAAACCATTCCCGAGGCCAACTCTCCAGACAAAGATTAGGCTGGACTATGGGACATAAAATGATTCTCGTGAAGAGTGTGCTTCTTAACTCAAGTAGATACATGAGACTAAATGGGCAGCTCCTGTCCGGAGGCGAGATGAGAAGGCAGAGAGGGTCAGGAGCTGATTGAATGGACACGGGAAATCCAGGGTGGAAGGGAGGAGTGTGCTGTCACAGTATCGGGAGAGCAACTAGGGTCACGTAACAATGTACGTATAAATTTTTGTATGAGAGACTAACTTGAATTATAAACTTTCAGTTAAAGCACAACAATAAAAAAAAAAAAGTAAAATAGAATAAGAACACATCCTACTTGACCTACAGATTCAACACAATCCCAAGCAGAATTCCAGCAAGCGATTTCGTAGATATCGACAAACTGACTTTAAAATTTTTATGGAAAGGCAAAAGACTGAGAGTAGCCAACAATACTAAAAAAAAAAAAAAAAAACAGAGTTGGAGGACTCACACTACTCGATTTCAAGACTTAACCATAGAGTAAGCAAGACAGCATGGTAATTCATGGACTCCAGACTTTCTGGAGCCATGGAGGCTGGACGACTCCCCAAAACTATTGCCTTGAGATAATCTCTAAACCTTAAACCAAAAGTATCCCCTGGAGTCAGTCTTCTTAAAATCAAACAATGGTTTAGTTTAACTAGTAAATAGTGTCTGCCATGAGCATTGTGCTCTTTCAAGGTCTAACTATATGGGATCAAAGGGACAACTGCAACTCAACAGATTAGATAGGAAACTTAGGGGGCAGTGAGTTTATGTTAATGAAAGAGCAACAACTCAGAAAAAGAGGATGAGAATGGTTGCACAACTCGAAGAATGTAATCAATGTCATTGAATTGCACATGTAGAAACCGATGAATTGGTGTATGTTTTG